CATATGATTGGCATACTCCTTATGCAACCTTGCTTAAAAGTATATTTGTCACTGTCACTAATGAACGCAGACAGATAACTTTGGCAAATATCTACATTCTCTCCAATGGAACAATTGACTGTTGCAAACCTGATAGAATCTTTCACATTAATCCTTGTACAATAATTGTCAAACTCCCTCTCTAGAACAACAGTACCACAAATCTGCGAAGCAACTAGCTTTTTAATTTCATTCCAGAGAAAGGATTTACCATCCTTAATCCATCTCGGTATTCAGTACAGAGCGGTCTCATATATTACTTCATCACCAACAATATTCAGTATCCTTATCTCATTTATTCTCAAAGCCTGCTGTTCTCTGACCATAACCAGTCAACCTTTTCCTGGTCATAAACTCTCACTTTACTTCTCTTGCACGGGGTATATCCCAATTCCAAACTACAAGAAACTATCGGAAATTTTTCACAACAGTGCGCAAGGAAATCCACAGATTATCAGTAGAAGTGACCAAGGAAGCACTGGCAGAGCTTACCTGCGATATCAGTTTTGCAGTCCTCACTTCCTGCAATACCATCAAACTAAACAGAATCTCGAGTGAAAGTGAAAAACTTATTATATTAGAAAATCGAGCACGCAAGAGCTAGCAGACAATGCGGGATTCCAAATCTCAAAATTATCTACAACTACAGAACCAATTCAAAAGAGAATCAAGTATATTTAAATAAGAAAGATGAGGTGCATTTCTAAACTCCCTTGCAAAGGAAAATAATTCCCCAAATATTTTAATCGGAAACTATATTTTAATCGGAAGAAGTATACACCAAATCTTCCCTCCGTGGATCTAGAGTTTATCAACTCTGATAACGCAAAAACAAACTGTCTAGCTTATGTACTTGAAAATACTTTTCAAAACAACTGCTTCCTTTATGTTGATGGCATAATTGTCAGACTAAACTCAATAGTTCATAGCTACCTGAAACAAAATGGCCCATGCATCATGTATGTATGTATGATGTATGCAAGTATGGCGTGTGTATGTATATGTGTGCGTCTATACACATACATACGTACGTACGTACATACATTTCTGATCCCGCTCCCGATAACAGAAGAAAACCATCTTTCCTCCCATAAGTTCTCCTCGCCAAGTTAAAGAATTTTTTTAGAAATTAAAGAATAAAAAGGGCCACAGACCTGATAAAATTTTCAATAAGGCTTTCAAATATCTTGCTTTAAAAGCATCGACCCCTCTTACCAAAATAATCAACTCCTTTCTGTAGCTTTGTGACTTTCCTGATCTTGAAAGACTGCAACCATTTCTTCCCCAAATCAAATAGTAATAATATTTTTCTGCATAACAACAGACCTTTCAGTTTAGTATGCATTCTTTCCAAAGTAGCAGAAAGAATCATATCGAACGTTCTTATCAATAATTACAACATCATTGCTCACCGTCTACCTGATCAGTTTGATTTCCGTGCTAAAATAACTTATTTATTACACAGTCCATCAGTTATACAGATGCAGGTTTTCTGGATATAGCGAAAGCGTTTGACAGGTAGGCATCATGGACTCGTTTATGAGCTAATTAAACTGGAATTAACAGACTTAATCGTAAAACTTATAGCCTCGTTCCTTGAAAATCGTTCTTTTAAAATACATGCGGGAAACACCCATTTAAACATCACATCTATCAAAGCAAGAAGAATATACTACAAGGAAGCATGCTTGTTCTCATTCTTTCTGGTATTTATACTTCTGACTAGCTGTTACCCGGCATGCATTGCATGTTATTTAAAGTAAAGAAAGTGTGTATGCTGACATGTTTTCTTTACGCGTAGTTTGCATGTTCCGATTGGATTGCTTGCGTCACCTGATATCAAGGCTGATAATTGTTCTGGTGGTGAAATTAATTTTGGCAATTTCGCTTTTCCACCCGCGCAGAATATTTTTGGTGCTTCATTCTTAAATTTAAGAGCTCTGAAATGCATGCATAATTTATCCATCTTTACAACGACCACACTTGGATCAAGACTGTAATCATAATTAGCATCGTAATGTAATGTTTAAATCAGCGTGTAGTATCCGTCTGGATCAAGCAGTGCGTACTAGAACGTTTCCCACTCTTGCTTCCCATTGCTCGTTTGTTTCAGACAAACTGGCATGAGCAGTGCGTTCTCGAACGTTTTCCAGGCTTGCTTCCCGTTGCTCGTCCGTTTCAGACGAACGGACTTGAACAGTGCATACTCGAACGTTTCCTAGTCTTGCTTACCGTTGCTTGTTTGTTTCTGAAGCTCGTGATGTCGAGTCTGTGTCGTCTGTTAAACTTTACTTGACTTCATAAAAGGGTCCTTTACACCCTTTCTCTGGGGTACTTATAAGTCACAGCGATAATTCGTTTTGGATATAGTTTGTGTTCGCTAAGAAGACCGAACTTTATAATTTTTATCTGTCTGCAAAATTCCAGCAAAATTCCACTAAGTAGTCTAAACATAGTCACTTTTTCCTGTAAAAAAGCAGCCCTACCCGTCAAATATCACCATCATTAATTTTGTTTTACTCTTAAGGTAGCATAACTCATTTATTATTCGCAATTTTGCGAATTATTTGAAACCTAACTGCACAACAGACAATAATGGGGCGGCTTGTCAAACAAAGTTCTACAATGAATGGAAAAATGAATCGCATCTAAACTTCTACATGTGTGATTCGGGGGTATTTCTCTCTTAAATCAATATTCAATCCAGTTTAAAAATAATTTATTAGAATGCCAAAATAAATTAATATAATCTAGAATCTAAGATCTCATTCGCAGCATTCAAGCTGCATCAATCAAATCGAAAGCAAGTGCGAAAGTTCCCACTGTTGCCACTTAGCGTTCTCTAAGTCAATGCTTCTACTCATTTTCGTGTTACGATTTAGAGGCAGAAAAAGATGTCTACTCAGACCGAAACACTAACAAAAAATTTCTGCCGGATTTCTCTGTGACCAGTCTTGTTGGGTTTCAATGAAATATGTATTTTTGCGTTTTACTGCTAATTTTTAAAACTAAACTTCTAACTTTATACGGAACAAAGGGAACTTCACCCCCGTTCGTCTAAAAATCTTATAGTTAATTCAAGTCATGAATTTGCAAAATCATCATTTCTAGATAAATGCATGAAAAGTTTAATATTTGGGAAGCATAGAATTATGAATAATAACTCTTCTAAATATAAGTCTTTATTTTGTTATAATGTAAAACACAGGGAAAGGGAGTCTTAATAAATCATTTAGATGAAAATATTAAAGAATTCAGTCATGGTGCTAACACAAAAAGTATTAAAGAATTCAGTCATGGTGCTAACACAAACAATAATTTATACCTTGCACCAAATGTTTACTTTAAAATATTTTATATATATTTTCCTAGTGTTGTCAAAATTTATTATTTTCTACAATACATGCATATGAAAAAGACTGCGAAATCAAAATGCGATAAAATGCGTGAATCGATTTTCATGCAAGAACATACAACTTTAAGGCAACATTAAAAAAATGAGATTTTGTATAATTTGTCTTTTATAACTCATCTTACGCCGTTTAAATTCTTATGCGGAATGATTCTTTCTTCTCCTTTGTCTCAAAATTTATCCGTTGAAAATAATATATAACTGTAGGATAATTCATAATTTCCTTCGAAGTTTTCAAAATTTATAATAAAATAAATGCAACAAATAGCAACAAAAAGTGTCTTGTCATAGTATACTATGTCATAATATATAAAGAATCTTTCCAAGTTTGCATTCGTTAATAGGTACAATCATATAATTATACATTTATCCACTAGATGGCAGTCATAAAATTTTTAACTACCGTGACTGTTACTGTTAAAGACAATGCTTAAGAATATCAAACAGACAATATAATCCGTATGTGGTACGAAACACGGAGGTGAGAAGAAGGTTCTGGTTCGATTCAGAGAAGATGAAGATTAGAAGAAGGTTCGATTCAAAAGAAAGAGCAGCACAATAGAGATCGTTGGGTCTACTTCGTGAGATCGAAGTTTGTAGCATCATCAGGGGTGCGCATATCGAAGAACCCTCAGACATATGCAAAACCGAAAAATGTTTATTCATATGCGTCTTTCTTTTTTTTTGGGGGGGGGCTGTATCAAATGATTATTGTTCTATAAGTTTTTGAAACTGAGGAAATTGTATAATTTCTATTGTGTATTCCTGTAATTTCTAATATAAATTATGCTCAGAGAAAGATTTTTGTATTTGTGTAACTAGTATATGTAATAATTTTAAAAACGCATTAGTGAATAATCCGTATGATGAGCAATAAAATTATAGTATGAAACATTGTACGGAAATAATTAACAACATTATCATATATTTATTAAACTAAACTCCTTAAAGAATGAAACGTACTACAATTCTATTGGAAATTTATTGGATTTGAATCTGTTTTGTGTTTGGATTTGAAAATTTAAATAACACATAATAACGTAAGAATTATTGGCGTTCAGCATTATTTATTCCTTTATCTAAAAAACACGGGGAAAATAAAGTAAAAAGAAAGCCTCTGTATAGTTTCATCTGGTGACATTAAGTTCTGATACCTTTGTAGGAATGACAAGCAATAACCATGAAGTGACGTGATACAGTTTAATGCTATAGCGTATTTCAGTTTGTTTTATCATTAAATACATCTAAAGAAATTGGTATTTAGAGCTTAAGTTATGAAGAAGATTTAGAACATTTAGTACAAGCTTAATAAAAGTAATTTATCACTAATTTTTATGCATATGTTTCACACTAATTTAAATGGCACAAAAATTACATGACTGAAATTGATAATATATTACATTTTAAAATTGTGATATGTATTAGAGTTTGCAGTAAATTTATTTCTACCTCAAAACCCAAACAAATAATGTAAAAATAATTTCGTAAGTGAATGAATAAAAGATATACACAGTTCAAACAATGAATAGCATGCTTGAAAATATATTACTGTAATTTCATCCTTGATAATTTGATCCATCTTATTTGCCATTCGCTCTTTTACTTCTTTCAGCATGAATGTAAGATGAGGTAACACTTTTTTAAGTACTTTTTCTTTGCTCTAAAAAAAGTAAAACTTTTACTGAAATAGATAAATCTTGAATAAACTATAAGAAAACAAACTGAGCTTTAGCTATTAATAAAGCTTTAAGAAATGAAATGAGAAAAGTACTGTTTTTTGACTTAACGTAACTACTACGTAACTACATTAAATCAAACGTAACTACATTAAATCGTAACGTAACTACATTAAATCAAAATAAAGCAAAATGATACTCATATGTCACTATAGAAGTTTGAAATTTTTCTCTTCTAGAAAGCTATTCCAAAGGCAAAAGTAACGATAAATATTACAGCTAAGAGGACATCAGGTGAATTTGAGGGATTCGACATCTATAGATACAAGTTTCGCTATGTCATTTCTTAAACATGCTTTGCATTGTTGTTATAAAGCAAATACTGGACCTTTCCTTATTGACTTTGATGGGTCGGGGCAACTTCTTATATATTAGTGTATGACATTACACACTTGCTTTCCACATTTTGGCCTAGCTACGCTTTTGACTGTCTGTTGTTGCTTTGTTGCTACAAATATATAAAAAATGTAAGCCCTTTGGAACAGTCACATTTAATATGCCGACTTGTGTGTAGCGGCTTGTAGCCGCAACATGTTGCTGAAATTAAAACTGAAGATTTAATCTGCATTTGCCTCCAATTTCCTCGTCATTATGGTTCAATACCTCTACGAAATCAAAATTCTTGCTTCTGAATATATTACACACACATATATATATCGTTGAAATACAGCAATGAAAGAACAGGATTTTGGGAGGGGCAAGGAAAAAAATAGAGCTTTGGAAAGATCGACAGTTAGACGCTGAAAGTTAACAATGAAATGATTCTGACAGTGCTTGAAAAGGGAAATTTCAGTTTCCTGAAATTTATGATTTTAGGTTACAATTTTGTTCACTCCAGATATAATTTAGTAAATATGTACTTGAAGTATGTAATAGTCATAGCATACTTACTCAGAAACAACGAGTCAAAAAAACTTTTATTCCTTTATTTATTTTTGATAAAATGCTTGTATATGTATATATTATAGTTTATAATTAAAAAAAAAATTAACACATGACAAATATGTGCATGCAAGGTTGAAAATATTGTGCCCTTTTTATATAAATGACCTAGGATTTTACGTGCAGAATTTATGTGCTTAACTTAGAACTTTATACTGAAGAGAACATCATTAAGTCACACTCTAGCAGCTGCATGTATAATTGAGAATTTATTTATGATGCATATATACTGCTAGAAGAATAAGATAATTAAAATGAAGAATTAGTAATTTCACTAAGATAGCTCTACTTCCACAAAGTAGGAGACCTTTGTAGCTACGGATTGAGTGTTTAATAAGGAAACCAAGTTAGAAACATTTTCTCTGAAGTTAAACTGCTTTGATTTTCATGTCTTGTTCAAAAATATCATTTCTTCACTCTTTTTATCATTTATGTGCCTAATTTTTGTATTATACGTTATCGTTTGCGGGTATACAAATAACGAATCTAGTGTTTCTAAAGGCCCCTGGAAGATCGCTTATCTGTCAGCCGTGGAGTTTGGCACGTCCTAGAGCTTAAGGTTCTAGTAGCCTGGGGTTGGCGTCCCGGGTTCTGCCTGAGGGTGGCACCCCTGGTTTTCTGGGTAATATCCTTGGCCGACGGGAGCCTGTGTGACGGTAAGTAGCAGATTGACGTCCAGTTTCGCCTTATGGCGATGGCTCCAGCACTCTCCAAAGTGCGAGGACGGGGGTTGAAAACCTGGGCCTAGTTCGGCGGTTGGGTTGGACAGGAGTGTTGTTAAGTCTAACGTAACGTGGAATGCCTTGTATCTTATCGTAACTTATCGTTACTATATCTTCTTGCTTCATACTACTTTTACGATAACTCCAGAAAACTCAGCCACCACAACTCACATGATTGCGCTTTCCATATACTACGCATGATCCGCATTCTATAAAACAATAAATAGTAATTTAAGGTCATCAGCTGGAACATCAACAGAGCCATAACGTTTTTATGTCTTCCTGTTTCTTTGTCATAATTCTTGCATGCTAAGAATTCTGCTTACGATCTATATGAACATTTCAATAGTAGAAGACCTTTATGATCTACATCATTTAATATTTATAACAAACATTGTGATTTAATGAAGTAGATTTACCTTATTACAAATCTATTCTGCTTGAAGTTATGGTTTGATACAACGTCCTTTTTAAATATTGTTAAATGAAATTTCGGTTATATAATGCTGCAGAATTTCAAAAAGATGTAACTTTAAACTAATTTCAGTTTTAGGTGGTCTCGTGTACTTTTATGTGGAATAAAGAATGATAATTTCTCTGAAAAATATTTTCTAAATGTGCTCTTGGAAACACTTTTTTTATAATTTGTTGAATATAAAATAAAACTAAGAAAAAAAAGGCATATAAGGTTAAATCACTCTTAACTTATTGTTAAAAGAAGAATTCCGTAATTTAGTGCTACAAAATGCAACTTTACCTCAGCTTGAGTAATCTGCCTTTTTCTTGGCATGTCATCTATTTCTCGGTGCTCGGATTCCGAATAAGAGGATATTTTTCGGGGTCTATCTTCACTCTAAAATTATATTTATGCATACTCTATAATATGATACATTCTTGTCGAAAATAAATAGAATATGTTTTATTGATTACCATATATTGTCTACTACAATTCTCAACGACTGATTCTGTAAATAAAGCTTTGAGAGTTTATATCAATTTTATAAATCTAGATTCAGAGGAATGAAAATTATATATTACACTAGATATTACAATATTTTTTTAGGTGAAATTCGTTAGAATTGGTCATTATTGCATTAATTGCTGTAGCCGGATTTTGTTGTAATTTCGTTCAGAGAGGTAAATTCAAGAATACGTAATACAGAAAAAAAATTATGAAGAGCTATAAAATGTAGTTCTAATTTTACAAATCAGCATAACTACAACATAAATCACACTCAAATTTAAAACTGTAAAACATTAATTCATCATTTAGCATTATTTCTTGGGAATTAATTTATATACAGAAGCTATTATTTCTGTTTATGGTTAAAATATAAAATTCAGTTTTATAGAAAAAGTTAGCAACGTCTTCACTTTATGATGTATAAGAATGAAAAGACAAAATGATTTTTCTTTTCAAATTCCTCAATTTTGCATGAAAATTTTAATTTGCGCAAAGAAAAACTACATTAATTTCTTAGAAGTTAAAAACCATAAAAGTATCAGTCACTCAGAATGGCTGACTATTACATAGATGGTAGTTCACAAAGTGAGGGAAAAAATGTTTAGTTCCCTAGAATTACAGAAACAAAATATGAATTGTATGTTAAATAAATATAAAGGACATAATCGCATTTTCCCTTTTACCACAAAATGAATACACAAATTATTTTTTATCCATAACATCATTGATTGATAAAATACTGCGCGGTGCGAAAGTCTTGCAACATTTCGTATAAACACGGAACCCATCTCATAAAGAAGTAAAATTCTAAAAATATTACGTAATATATCATTTGAAGATAATTTATAAGGTATTTCTCCCACCTTCTTAACATGCCTTCGTAGTGTGCTGGTCAGCACACTCAGCGCGTAATTGAGAGGTCCTCGTTTCGATTCCCGGCCGAAGGCGTTGCTAATTTTTCATCTTGCCTGCTTCGAAAAAGTACCTAATGTCTCTACAAATTTCATGAGGAAGTTAAAAAGTTAAAGTTAGAATTAACTCTAAAATTATGGTAAAACAAAAGATCCTTCAGAATCACAAGGAATTAACAAAATGTGACAGCTCATTATCTGATTATAGAAATAAAACTGATCATATCAAGCATGAATATGATTTCATATTTGAAATCAATTAAACATGTACTGTCTAGGTTTCTTTAATTATATTTAAAACCTTTCATATTAATAATAAATTTATTTATTATTAATATGAAAGGTTTCTTTAATGTAAAAACATTACTTTCAGAAAATATGCTCACAAAGAAAGTTTTCCGATCTTGAACTCTCAATATTTCTCAAAAGAAAAAAAGAGAGAGAGAAAGGGAGGAGGGAGGAAGAAAGAAAGAAAGAAAAAATGTGAATCTTCTTATCTAGGAATACATAACAGTAATACAATTAACTGAAAATATACTGCGATACATAAATTGTTATTATATGATATTTTTATTTCTTCTAATCGCACAGTTTGTTATTATGCTATATTTTTATCATTCCTGATGAATGACACCATACCACAAAGCATGAGTTAGAAACACTAATTCAAAAGCAGATTTCTAAATTTCCTCATAGTTCTGAATGCCTAGATAAGATAAAACTTCTTCTTCATGTCACCCTCTAATTTTATTATGAGGCAACATATACTTATATTCCTTAATTCTTTAAGCCTTAAAATTTGGGGAAGCTAACAATGTTATGTATTCATCTAAAATCAAATCAAAGTCTTAAATCTTTAGTTTAGAATCCAGTTCCTTAACATAGAGCCAATAATTTTAGTCTACGTATTTCATTTCAGGATTTTCACGCTTATAAAGAAGAAAGTATAAATATAGGTACTAAATTCCATATAACTGTATATTTCAAAATTTTAGAACTGTTTTTGGGGTAAAATAGAATATTGTACTGGTTGAAATTTTTGATACTAGCTTTTTTGACTCAACATAAACGTATTAAACGTATATTAGTCATGTAAGAAAGGGTTTATATATAACCATTGCGTGTGCTGAATATACAAATTCTTCTGGTTCCCTGAATCTTCTTTCTGCGGCGAATTCCTCAGACCTCCTTTCTGGTAATGAGTATCTTTTTTCATCTCTAGAGGTTAAATGTGCTTCGTCAGAAAATCTCTAAAAAACGCATACAAAAAGTATTAAATTTACCTTTTACTTTTATAAATTACTATTATTACAACTTTTATTTATCACTGTATTTGAGTTAGTTGATCAATAACAGTTGAATTCATCTTTAATTGCGAAAGCAAAGTAATAATTTTTTCTCACTTGTTCGTACTCTCCTTTCAAATAAATGTCTTTTTCATCACCCCGAGTACTTGAACGTCGTCTTCTGCTAGTCACTGTAATGTAACTGCTGGACTTCTTTACCTGCATATAATTGTACGCAGTTGCTCAAGAAGAAATATTTAAAGAAATCTGACCAATTAAAACTTTATTAAATAAATATTTAGAATCGAAGTAATTTTATTTAAAATATAAAACAATTTTTACACACAATGGCTCAAAAATCTGAGCGAACATTTTGCACATTACTGTAGAAAAAAATTCTGCCTGACGAAAATTCACAATTTGTACAGCGTTCATTTAGCACGATTTAATAAAGCGATGCTATTTTCCGCTTTGAGCAAGGGATTAATCAGTTAATGCTATTTTTTAAGTTACGTAAAATTTTTTTCTCCAGCCTGCAATAAAACTTTTATTTAAATTCTAATAACATTCTTAAAACAAGTTAAAAGAAATGTTACAGCTGTGAAAAAAGCGTGTTAGCTTTCGTGATATAAAATTTTATTTTTCAATAAAATGCTAAACTAAAGACTCCAAATATGCAGTAAACTAATAGAATTTTAGCTACTATACATTTACATAATAATGCGTGGAGCCTCATTACAGTTTCCAGATATAAATACAAAGATGAATTTTCGATCATTGTTAGGAAATATCAACGAAACCACTACATTAAGTTTGAAAGAGATGTTGCAGTTATAACAGGATAAAATATCATAGAAAAATAGAATAAAAAATATATTATAATTGAGATTATAATCCTATACCAATGTGAATGAAAGCTACTCAGTCCACGAAACGTGCATCAAAATAATTCTTTAATACAGAATATTAGTGAATGTGTTTGTTAAATTTTCTGAATACAATTTTCATTTATTTTGAATGAAATGTTCTCTCCGAACATAACTAACTCATATATTATTTTTGGCCTTTTGATATCTTATTAAACAGTACTTAACATGTAACAGTGAAATTAATGATACAAAGAAATTAAATGCCATGCCAGTTGAAAGTATATTTAAGAAAAAGGACGCTGTTCAATAAATTTTCTTAGACAAACAGAAGATTTATGGTATGCACGCATATATATATATATGGTATTAGAACAGATTTATGGTATGCACGCATATATATATTATATATATATATATATATATATAATATATATGGTAGAACCTGATATGACAAAGATATGTGTAAACATATTAATAGTAAGAATTATAATTTTTTAATTTTATATTTAATGATTTCATTCTCATAAGAATAGGAATTTTTAAAACGAAAAATTATCTTTTTAAATTTATATTCCTTTTCATAACAATATTGCACTGAAATAGGAAATACTTGAATTAGTAACGAAATCATTAGATCCAACACCTTCGGCTATACTATTTATATATTTCGCAACAGGTATTTATAATTTTTTACAAGCATATAAGTATGAAATAAATCAAAATATCTTGAAAAAATAATTTATTTCAGTTATTATACACTACCCGACATTAAAAATGCAACACCAAGTAGGAGTGGCCGAAAAATTATGTAAATTTCAGGGTAGAAGCAGGCTACCGAGTTATGCGAATGATGTGAAATGCAAAGCTCTCCAGCGCACGTTGAAGAAGATGTAGGAAAAGGAAACTTCAGAATGTTTAATTTTTGTGCCATTATATCTGCTAGGGAAATAATCGTAGAAATTTTTTTCTTGTCTCAGAGGACGCGCGTAATAGCAGAGAATGCCAGGCCGTCGTCAACGGAGGCAGTTTCAGCAGACACGATTTTACGACGCGCATGGTAATCGGGCTGAGAAGGACAGGTTGATCCATACGGCAAATCTCAGCTGACATACACCTGAACGTGTCCACAGTGCATCGGCTGTGGCGACTATGGTTGGAACAAGGATATGTGCCAAGTTCCAAGGGTGCTGGTGCAGCCAGACTGACATCAGCACGCGTGGATCGACGCATCTGCCGAGAAGCGGTGGCGCACCCACAAAAGTCTCTTCTACCTCCATTCTGCAGCATTTTCAAGATTCCCTGGATGTTTTCATATCGACCATAACCATTTGCCGTCGATTGGTGGCTAGTGGCTTGCACTCGTGGCGTCCGTTAAGAAGACGGCCATTGAACCCACATCATAGACGCCAGCGTCTACAATGGTGCCGGGCTCGAGCGATGTGGACGATGGAATGGCACAGGGTCGTGTTCTCAGATGAGTTACGCTTCTGTTTCTCGATGGTAGTCGCCGCGTACAATTTTGGGGGTAGATGTGGAGACAGGTCCAATCCAGCAGAATTTCTGGAACGCCACACTGCGTAACAGCGAAGCATAATTGTTTGAGGAGCAACTGCGTACGATCCCAGGTCACCTCTAGTTCGTATTCAGGGCACTATGACGGCCCAACGATATGCAAATGATGTGCTGCTGCCGATGACGCTCCCTTAATTTCAAGGGAGTGCCCAGTGACCTTTATCAGCAGGACAACGTCCGACCACACACTGTTCGCTTCAGTCAACGTGCTCTGCAAGGTGTACAGATGCTTCCCTCGCCACCATTCTCTCCTGATCGTTCACCAAACGAACACATTTGGGATGTGATTGGACGCCATCTGCAGACCCTGCTATTGCCGCGTTCAGAAGATGAATTGTGGCAAATGGTTGATATGGAACAGAGAGCCATTCCTCAGGACACCATCCGTAGTCTCTGTACCTAGACGTGTTGCTTCGCGTATCGCCGTCCAAGGTAGTCCTACAACCTACTGAGCCAACGCTGTTCTCCCTCTGTATTATGCTTATCATTTCGAAATAAATATAACTTATTGTTCGTTGCTGTCTCTCTCTGTCTGCTAATTTTTATCACTTTCTGGCCACTCCTTCTTCGTGTTGCATTTTCAGTGTCGGGTAGTCTATTAGGAGGAATATATATTACATTTTGGTATTTTGCTCATGGAATATTTACAGTAAACAGTTTTTTAATGATTTTAGAAGGTGTTATTTATGTCACAAATGACGTTATACTTAATTCCATAGATGTTTACAGAGTTAAAGCTAGAAATTTGCACTAACCACTCCGTTTCCATATCAGAAAACCATGTGTTAACGGCATGCACCATATGAGTTGTAACTCGATCATGATGAAATAGGATGGGCTTCGTACCAAACTATCATATCGGTGGGATAACACTGAATGGTTAATATATATATATTACGCCAAGCCCTTGTGTTCATGTTTTCCTTCGCAGGAAACAAGGGGTTAAGGCCAAACTACAAGGAAGAAGATGAATATCGCTTATATCGTCACAAATATCGCTTACTTAGCACTCTTCATATACAAACATTACAGGTGGCTTTCTAAATAGTGTACCAAAATTTGTGTCTGCTGAATAGCATAGATCGCTATTATTCCAGGCTCCAGTTACGTCTCTCTTTACATTATGCTAAGTAATGACTGGCATTAGCTGCGGTAATATAAAACTTATGTGCTACCGCTGTCATGCTGAAACCTAAATTTTGAAGCTCTTCATACAGTGTCATTCTACTAATGTTATATCCAGGGAATAATTATAGATTTATTCGTAATGTTTTTAGATAATACCATATGGTTTTGCTTTCACTGCTCTGCAAAGGGCTTTATAGCTTTTCCCTGTCAAACCACATGATCAACCTAATCTTATCTAAACAAATCTAACTTCTGTAGTTCTCTACTTCCTAATAATATAATTCACAGCTGAATGTGCCACATCTTATATAGCCAAATTTTACCAAAAAAATGTCCCATAAAAGAAGCAAGCAATCACTTTTCCTGAAGTTATCCAGATATTTTTGATCAACTAATTTATTATGTTAAATTATTTCGTTAAATTATTTATTATTATTTAAATGCATTTCGAAGAACTTAAGAAACAGTTATCATTACAATGCAGGGAAATGGTTGCATTACCTTTTATACAGACAATAAAAGAGACTAAGACAATTATGAAAACACATCAACATAATCATTTACGCTAATAACAATAGCAATATAAATAACACGGTCATTTAATTCGTTATTAATGGCAGACACAATTACTTACTAATACCAGTAACCATCTGCGATTATATATATACTTATCTTGATGGTTTTTTTTTAAATTTTGCGTTTCTTTGTAATGTTTCAGTGCTATATGTATAATTTTAATCCTCCCCTTTTACTTAGATCGAACAACGCTAAGTATTTTCTGAAATTCTCTTTTCAGTGTAATATTGTTATTAAAAGAAATATAATCACTTTTCGTTTTAAGAATTCCTACTATCCTTGAAATGAAATCATTATTAGAAAAATTAGAAAATTCTAATTGTTTCTAACAAAATATTTACATATACCATAGTTAGATATTGGAAACACTTTACATCATAAATATCGAACGAAATTATTACCGGTTTATAGACTTCTCTGATACTCGGATGTTTTTTCACTTGCGTACCAGAACGAACATAAGAGACTCCTTCGTAAAATGACTTGCTTCCTTCTCCTGGCTTTAAAAATAGTTTAAAATGAAAAATTAATTTATCACGTTATTAACTATTTTCCAGCAGCGTAGAGTTGCTTACAAACTCAAAAAGGTACTTTTAAATTAAAACAGTTTTATCTGAACAAATATGGAGGTGGCTTAACTATCATATTATTAGCTTTATTATTGAATTTAGCTGTATTTGATTGTCTAAATAAACAAATTATTTGGTTCTTTTTATAGCTGAAAATATGGAAAAGATGTCTATATGAAAAATATTTGAATTACTTGGTATTTGTGTAATAAAAAAAATTAATATGGTGGAAAAGGTTTTAAATGAGAAGATTTTTAAGAGTAACTGTGTGTTTAGGGAAAAGGTGAAACAAATAACAATAGTTCTCCTTAATCTAGCAATCCGTCAGACGCATTTAGTGGAACTTTGATTCTTTAATGGCTGTTTCAACAAGAAATACCTTTATATTTATACTTATATTTATCAATTTAGTTACTTAATTAATTTTTTATCAAAACTTAATAATATTAGTATGGTTCGTGATGATTTATGACTTGATTTAAATTTAGGTAATATTTTATTAAATACATTTATTCCTAAAAATATTTATATTTTTAATTATATGTGAAATAATAGTATCACTTATATATTGTTAGCTCAAGTAGCAACTTACTACAAAAGAAATGCCTGTGGCTTGCCTCTTTTTCTCCTGAGAAACACTTTTCTTCGGGAAAAAACTATAAGTCTTCTTTAATATGGTACGTTTGAATGGTTTTCCCTAGAAATAGTAAAATCTTAATATAAGGCAGCAAAATAAACTGTGAATCTGCTTTACAGCAGTGCCTAATTCTGTTCTGCTAAGTAAAACCACAAAAAATCATAAATGCTTTTTTTTACTAAACAATAAAATTTTTAATTAAATGAAACAAAGTAATTGCAAAATACAAATTTCCTACTTAAGTGTTTAAACAATTATATTTCAGCTATTTAAAGTTAGGTAATTCCTAATTTTCATTTTAGTAACAAAGAGCAAACAGCAACGTCTTAATAAAAGAAATTTTTCTGTGGCAAGAATTAAATTCAAGTATTTTGAATAAAATTTAAACCTAAGTTCTTTAATAATATATAACTCTGCAGTGGAATCGTGAATCACAAAAAATTCATGATGACTAAAAAGCAATAAATATACAGATCATTATAACAGAATTAATGTTTTCAGTAAAATACAGTTGATTAGAATATATGAATACCAGAACAAACTATGAACTGAACAAATCATAGCAAAAAATGGTATTAGCATCACAAACAAAATTATTGCTCTTTTTTAACGAATGATTTATAGCAACTAATTTTCTAAAAAAGAGTCAGTTTTTTTATACTGAAATAAATACCAGTTATGAAATGATTTATGATTAAGGAATGTATGAAAATGCTTCTGCAGTTATTTTGCTCAGCCAAGCTCTTATCGTAAACTTCCTAGCTTACTGTTTAATTTCCTACATAAAAATATTATAAAAAATTGACAATTCATCAAAAGATATTTAGTTTTTAATAAAAACAGAGTTTTAATTGATTTAACATACACATAGTTCAACGAATTATCAAGTAATTATTGTGCATAATAATTCCGATATTTTTAAGAAATTTATTTCTAATTTTACAATAAAATGAATGAATTAATTAATCATTAATTTACATTCGTTTTCTAGAAATGCGAATTTAGAGAATGTAAACATAAATAACAACAAAAAAATACTGTAGAATTTTCTAAAATTTGTCAAAAAGTTTAATTAACTGTAAAATAAGTTTTGTTACATACTTAAAAGTTTTGCAGTGAAAACATAATAAAGGACTATAGCAAAATTTGCAAAGAATGTTAATACGTTATTCAATTTAGGATAAGCTTAAAAAGTATATTTAAATAAAAGAATAAAGATAAAAAATTAGAATCGCATGGAGTTTTCAAACTGACAACTACTGAGCAATTAATTAAGAAAATGGACTGAAGACAAACGGTAGATACCAATAAGCTTTATGTCAAGCATAAGGGGGGAAAAGAAGATATAGAGAAACCTGCTGTTTTCATTTTATTCTGAACGCAAGATATTGTACCCTGTCTACCATTTCTACTCAAATCTGTCTCCCACTGACTTGATTTCTCAAATCGGGTTAACCGCAAAAGAAGCGTTCATCAATAACGGATCAGTAAGGATGTGCCTCAAGAAGAAAAGGCTTGATCATTAACTCTTAGGTAATACAATGCTACATATAAATTCGTAAAAAATAAAACTATTTTATGCTTCTTGCATTACTCAAGTTGAATGAAATAAATAAGCAAACCTCTTGGTAAGAATAGTGCTAATGTGATGCTCCAAATACCTTAACATTTCGGCTGTTGCAAGATAAAGCTCATGAATTTCTTTCCTAAATACGCGCGATATCTGTAAGTTCTAAGCTTCTAATGCGAGATGGGTTCCTTGCGCCTACTGCGGTGAGTAAATGGAATACGGGCTGAGCTGATGATGACCATCAAAAGGTTAATAAGAGATTTTCAAAGACATCGGATGCTGAACTTACAGATTCAGTTAACCAAATGGTAAAGGTGTGGTGCCCGTCTTCCCGTTCCTTAAACCTAAACCTAAACTTACAGATTCAGTTGCGAGAAAATCAGCTCTTGACACAGAATTTGAGAAGGAAGTAGGTGTCATTCAGAATTAGATCTAGATAGAAATACAAAAGTGTAACGCTGAATATGTAAGGAAGTGTTCCATCCACCCGTCTGTGTGGTTGTGGTGTTAAGTGATTAGCAAATCTAGCTAGCAACTGGAAAATCCGGGATTCGGATCCCGAAAAAGAAGAAGCAGATTTTTATGTTTCCTGGAAAACTTAATAATCTTTAGAATATCTCTAAAATTAAAGTGTAGAGGAGAATAGTTCTTCACCATCTTGATGTGGTCGGTTGGATCTCGTGCCGTCTTGCCTCTCCTCGGTCATCCGTTGAGTGATAGAATGCAAGGAATTATCGCATTCCCGTATATGTTATCATGTAGTTCAAGTGGTTATCACTTCTAGCTAGTGGTTAAAATAACCATAATTCGAATCCTGTAGATGGAACAGTTAATTTTTCTCACTTCCAGCTCCGAAATCCCTAATAAAAGTCTATAAAATATTTTTAAAAAATGGAAATATTCCAATAAATTCTGATTCTGGTAATATTGTGTCTAAATTTTACTAATATTTCCATTTTATGAAAAGAAATTTTTATTGCATAGATGACTGGCATCCAAAACACACATATTTTATCTGATAGGCAGAAGTTAAATGTATAGCAAAAATGATAACAGAATTATTTATTCCTTCCATTAAAAGAACGTCTTACATTAATAATCTCTTTATTTATTTTAATGACTAGACTAATTAATTACTTTTACTTGGGAAAGGAATAAAATACATTTCACACATAATTTTATACATACTTTACAATACATTTTATTTGGCTTGTAAAATAGTATCTATTGTACAAATTATGGCATATGTTATGAATCTTGCTGCTTTGAGCTTGGAGATATATCAGTGGAAGATTGCGCATATTATGAATATTGCTGCTCTGAGTTTGGAGAAATATCGAGGATATTTTTTACAAAAATAGGTACTAATTTGAGAAAACATATTAAATTAAAAATCATTCACATTTAGGGATTTCTGCCTTAAAATAGCTCGATATTCTTCCAAGGTAGTGTTAGTGTGTACTCGGTTTTATAATTAGGATTGTACTGGTTTTTCAGCTAAACAGTGATTTTAAGATATTTTCTCCCTTCTTTCCCCATGCCTTCGTGGTGCAACTGGAAGCACACTCGATACATATTCGGGAGGTCCGGAGTTCCGATTCCGGCGAGGGTATGGTGGATTTCTTCAGTTTCCTGACATCGAAAAATTCTAAAAAAGACTCTACATGTGACACCCGAACTAAAAAGGCGGTGGACGATAATTCTTCGCAAGATAAGATATGGCAACTGGGTCAACTCATGCCCAGTAACACTTCAAAAGAGGCTGTATATAAGGTATTTCTCCCTCTTTTTCGCATGCCTTCGGAGAGTAACTGCAAGCACGCTCGACGAGTATTCGGGAGGTCCGGATTTCGAACCCCGGCGAGGGCAGTGCGGATTTCTCCCGTTTCCTGACATCGATATAACCTAATGACAAATTGATTAAAACAATTTCTCTGCTCTTCGTCAAATTTAAACTTACGATATTTTTTAAAGAGCTCACTCAGTAATTTAGCAATAATCGAGTTATTTTGGAATAAACTTTCTAAAATCCCCGGGGATCTCAAAAACTATGATTTTTTTAATTGATTGGTTGAGGAAAATTACAGCCTTCATTTTTAAAGTAGATGGAAAACTTCTATCTTCTTCTATCAGATGGCCTATAAAGTTAATTCCCTGTCTTAAAAAATAGGACTTTTTAAAATTTATCTCTAATTCAATTTCCCTAGCAATTTTTAAGACCAGTTCAAATCATTCCATTCCTTCTTCAAGTGAGGAAGGAAAAATTATCAAGTCGTTCATATAAGGCAGCACAATGCCATCATTAATTAAAAGTCTAAAAATTGCGCACTCCTGAATTCAAATTATACTCAGAGATAATCAATTTATAGTCTATAATCACTAAATTAATATTAAATAAAGCATATTGCATGCACTTTTTATGTAATTTTGCAGAAAAACACTCAGTTACAAACTCATCAAGGAAAAAAAAATTATCTTACTTTTTTAATATCAGTATATTCTGTTTCATATTGATCTCTTTTAGGATAATAATCATCATAATCTGCACTCTGTTGAAAAATCAAACCACCAAAAATTTTGTTTTTATTCTTAAACTTACTTATTTCACATAAAATTATATAACAAAACTTCATATTATTACACAACCGGAATATAAAATTTTTTAGTTTTATCGTAATATATATTGATTTCATATTCAAATATTACAGATAATTAAATAATATTACAGAATACCATTAAGTATTCATTGTTAAGGAATGCTATATTGAAACTTAGAAAATATTCTTTTGTTTATCAAAATTCGACAATTTTAAAAAATAGACGTATGTATCATATAGATCCTTACAGTTTCGAAGTCTACGTCTTCACCAGAGTCGACATCGTAAGTATTTCTATCTGTATCATAAAAACGATAGCCACCTCTGCAAATTCTTCCTTCTTTCCGCTAAAAAAGTGATCAATAATAATGTTATTTAAAGGAATATACATTATTTTTTAAAAAAGACATTTATTTATTCATAATAAAATATCAACTTTCATTTCCTTTAGTTTTTAAGATTTAAATCTACTGCTAAACTGTTCCAGTTTACGCACAGTCGTGTACAAGACTGACTTATTGAAGCATTAAATTGAAAAAACAGTTTGGTGCAAAAGGTGAACCTTCAATGAATCCAAATATTTTCCGTTTTGGACAAAATTCATGCACCACTAAAAACGATTAAGTTAAATAATTATGATAAGTCTCTCGAAAGCTATATGCTCAACAAAGATTGCCTTCAGAAAGGAGTTTCTTGGAGAAATTCAATTGCATTGGAAATCCACATGGTTTTTCCCATCTGGACCCCCGACACCTCTGGTCCATTCAGCCTCAGGGAATACAACCCAAACTGCCAGCATTTTGTATCTTTATACCCTCGGCCACTGACTGACTGAAACAAAATTAAACCAGGCATCTTTTAATGTTTATTTTGAATATCAAGATATATTATTTTAACTAAGTAAATAATTTAAACTGCCATACATCAGATAATGCAAGCTTTACTTTAACATATAAAACTTTTGTAATTAATAACATCTTAATATCTATACCGATCCCTTTAAGAATATATGCATAGTCAGCCTTTTGAACTTACTTATTATAAATCTAATTCTTGAAAGTGGCATTGCGCTACTTATGATAACAAAAATGCACAGCAATAAACTCATTATGGATATCAAAGTTATTTTACTTCCTTTTAAGGAAGTATTGCAATCGCGAAAAATTTCGGGTATCATATTTCAACAGAAATATCCATTTTGACAGTTCTTGAATCAATTTGGACGATTTTTTTGAGTGACGTCTGTAAACAGAGGCTTACGTCTTGTACACGTTCTGCACGCTTTAATCCGTTTTAAATCCATTTTAAATCCATTTTAGAATCAATTTTAGAAAATAGAGTACTTTATTCTGAGCATGTGTACGTACGTACATTAACTTGGAGTTTACGTACACACGCTCAGAATAAAGGACTCTGTGTTCCAAAATTCATTCTAAAAAATGGATTTAAAATGGATTGAAAATGGATTTAAAATGTTTTTTTTTTCTTTTTTCGGGGCGTATGTACGCATGCATGTATCTCGCATAACTCAGAAAGGATTAGTCGTAGAACATTGAACTTCTGTATAATGGATTTCTATAATATCTAGTTGGGTACATCCCTTTTTTTATTACAATCGGTAGAAGCAAACATATATATAAATAGATATCCATCCCATTTCTCCGTTTAAAAACTCTTGCCCGGCCTTTATTTTCACAATCGTTGGTCTTAGTCATACACTTCCAATTAAAGAAGTATTTTAAATGACGAAAATATTCATGTTCTGGCAATGTCAAATAACGAAATATAACTTTTAATGCGGTCGACCTATTCCTATTATTAATTCTTTATATTTGGGAAAGTTTTATATTCGTTCAGAAAAAATAAAATTAGAAGTTTGATTCTCGTACGACAAAAACTGACCGAGATATATGATTTCATAATTTGAAATTTATGTAATTTTAACTTGCCTTGAAGAATTGGTTAAATAAGTTAGAATAATCAAGGAAATAAGTATAAATAAAGTGATGCAGGAAAAAAACTATAATTTAATAGGCTGTACAAGGAAGTCATGTGGTGTCTACATAAGATTTGCTTTTAAAATTGTACTAATAATATAATTATATCTTTTATTCGTTATTGTGTTTAACCAATCGCTGTTTTACAGAAGTCAGCACATACGAGAATTCTTTTAAGCAGGACATAAATAACCATTCAATATAGTATATAGTGGAAGAAAAAACTAAACCATTCTACATAAAATATCAGATATTTTGTGGGTAAGAGGAAAACAATATTAGTTCTCCTTATCTTAACCTAGCTAGATGAGGTCCTCGGATTTTATCTTAGCCAAGAGGTAGTGATTTCTAGATTTATCTGAGAAATATGTGGCTGATTCTTCTGTTTCTTTTCTGTTTAAGAAGTTTAAAAACCAACATGTTGTTAGAATTTCATGTGATATATTTTATTTCCTCTCCGGTAACACAATTAACCGTGTTTACGAACAATAGATACCAATTAAGATATTAATGCCACATTTTACTTCATGTTAAAGTAAAACTCTATGTATAAAAAATAATGCTGAAATCAGCGAGAGCAGTAAAATGGAAACACTACAATGCTTTGAAAGAAATCATTATACATAAGTTGACCTTTTCTTTTAGTACAACAAATATTAAAGTGATGATTATGATTCAATCTTACTTAAAGCAAGAGAGTGTTATTCATACGGCGGGTCTAAGTAAAAATAAGAGAAATACCAGACCTTCACAATAAATCATCAGGTATCCCACTTACTAGTATTTCTATAAGCTTCTATAAGAGTCAGGAGTGATCGCATCGGAATCTTTCCGATTTAAAAGCTGTGCTTCTTCAATGCCACAGAACCAGCTCCGCAATCTTCAGCATCCATTATGCGCATCCCAGACAATGAGAGTTGATATTTTGTACTACTAGATTACATTAATATAAAAGGATAATAATACTAGATGAACTTGTTTTGTACAAGGTTGTTAGACTTTGCACCAGTTATCACGCTCCATAAACCAGTGCTGTTTACATTTAGGTAACATATTGTATGCATATTAAGAAACTAAAAACTTCCTGTATAATAATTGTTTCAAAAGAATAAATTGAATTTAAATACAAATTTAATTAATTCTTTGCGCCATTGCTGCAAGGAATGAAAATAAATTTTAGTTATTTTCACTTTAAATTTGCTTTTTTTACGTATATACATGTTTGTTAAAATTCCTGTATAATATATATATATATATATTATATATATTTAACAGAGAGTTTTTCAGTTTTTTAATACAAATATTTAATTTGTCAATCTATGTCCCACAATTTCATTAAAAGTAGAGTAAAAATTAGGCTACAGTAACAAGAGAAATGTAGAGAGTTTAATTGAAATACCTTTATTATAAGTGGAATATCTTCTTGGGAGAACTCCCCAGCAACTTTGAATTCGTCTTTCATTAATTCCTTTATCTCCTTAAAGCAAAAATAAATTGTTATTTAAAATTAAAATACAGATAGAGGGTATATACAATAACTGATTGCCCATTATGATTTTGACTATCACATACACATTGAACTTACTTATCTTGTTAAAGGTTTTATCTTTTTTCAGCCAATTTAAATCCGTTGTTTAATCAATAGGTTATGAAATATATTATACTCATCTAATTTACTGTTCAAAATCTAGAACGGGGAGCTTAAATTATTGATTTCTTTGAATAAAAATATAAATTCAATAAAAAAGTGACTGAAACATTTTAAAAATCCAATTCAAAATTTAAAATAGATAAACTTATAAAATTTTTCAATTCTTTATCACAGAAAAATAAAATTATCATTTTATCCTTTATGAATGAATAAGTTATTTTATAAGGAATTACTGCATTCATCTAAGCTTACTCTTGTGGTTAAGTGGATCTCACGTCCATTGTAGTAAGTAGTATTGTAAGTTCCATGGTTCCAATCTCAGATGGGTTTATTTTTTATACTTCCTAGTCGGAAATAACTAGTTACGTATAGCGTATACATTTTAAGGTTTTCTCCCTTCTTATGGTGTGCCCTCATGGTAGATATTCATGGGAAGTAAATGGCTCATGGGAAGCCCTCATGGTAGATACTCATGGGGCCCTCATGGGAAACACGTCTGGCTGGCAATCAGAAAATTAGGAATTCGAATCTCGGTGATGAGTTTGCGGCGTTCTTTGGTATCCTGTTTTTCCAAAAATTCTATATTACACAAGGCGCCCCAAAAAAATGTGGTGGACGATAATGTGGAACCACCAGGGTTTGCCATCACCGCCTCCCTAGTCGCCATTTACGTAGGGTAGAATAAAAGCTAAATCCTTCCTCCTTACCGCATGCCTTTACAAATCAAGTGGAAATCAAGTCCGGCTGGCAATCAGAAGCCGTATTCTGTATAGGGCATTGCCCATTTTTTATGTTTCCTGTTTCAAACAAGCCTCACTCTGTAGCAGGGTTTCTTAAACTTTTTCATTCGCGACCCGTTTTTATCACTGAGACTTTTTAACAACCCCCAGGACCCCATAATATTTACAAAAATTTTGTAGAACCTCCATAAGGACTGAGCAAATCCGACACGCGCGTGAGTGAAACTGTCAATATTTTCACTTGTGCTGTAATATACTATTGCAGTTTTAGGTCATTAACTTTAATTTTTAATTTTAAGACATCGAACAATGTGAAAAGTTTAAATAAGTAATAGACGAAATAACAGCGTCACTTTCAAAGCAAGGAAAATGAACGTTTGTAGTATAAAAAGAATGCGTCGAAACGTTTTCGTTTTTTTCTTTGTCTGTATTGTCTTATGTTTATCTATTTCCAGATACATTGTGTAAAAATATTTGGTAATTGTAAAATTATTATAATAAGCTAAAGAAATATCAAAACTGCTAAAAGTTTTGGAGACCCCCAAGAGGGTCCCGACACACAGTTTAAGAAACTCTGCTCTATAATACAAGAAGTAAAGTGTGACGTAGAAATGAAAAGATCGATATCTATAATTACGTCTTTGAAATATACAAGGTGCAGCTACATTTCTTGTCTCCATATAAGCAAACTCTCTTTTTATAATATATGCGTCTTTAATATATGCGTAGCTTACATTTTACAAACTCTTCATCTACACTACCTGTTATCTACCAATAATTAAAATCTACCTGCTGTAAAATCTGAAAATTATAGCAACCACTTTAATTAAAAAACATTATTTAACATACTTTGCGGGACTCTTTGAATTCTCCTTCCATATCTGAATCGTTCCTGCGGACTCCATAGAAACGGTATCCTCCTCTTGTTACAAAATTTCCCTGCAGATAAATGGAAAACTTTGCTTTTTATCATGATATTATAGAAGACAAATTGTCCATGGGACAAAATAAAATATCGGCTTGATTTAGTTTACATAATGCGGTATGTATGAATTACAAACATAATAAAAAATGTCGTTGCTAAAAATTCTTTCCTAATATATACCTGCATCGAAGAAAGATTTTATTTTTATGTTTAATGCTAATTACTTATGAATAGTATCCTAGATTTCAAAGAGAAAGAATTATTCGAATAAAACATTATATGAAGAGTGACAATTAATGAAATAAAAGTCGAATAAAATGTACTCTTATACTCCTTGCAGAGTATCAGAAAAATACTGTTACGAATTTTGTATATATGTTATAAGGTATTTCTCCCGCCTTCCTAGCGTTCCTTCGTGGTGTAGTAGCTCTGCACGCTGGGTTGGTATCCAGAGGTCCGCGGTTCGATTCCCGGCGAAAGCAGTTGTTCATTTTTTCATCTCTCCGGTCTCCAAAAAATATCCCAATGTCTCTACAATGCAAATAATTTTATTGAAATTATATGTAAATTGTGGTACCTCTTCTCTATAACTGCAACATTAAAGGGCTCAAGAATGCTAAGCTTCGCCGGAAAGATAAGGTTACCAGGGCAGGTCTGTTTAACATTCAGGTAAATAATTGTCGAGATAGCGCCAAGCTGTCGATGATATTAGCAAATAATTTTTGTCGTTAAATTTGGTGAGAAATCATCAAAATTAGCCAAACTTGGCAACCATCTGGCGACATTTTGTTCCGATCCCTGTACAATTGTAATTGTGTTCGGCCCTTTGTAATTGTAACTCTGTATGCCTTCCAGCAATTTCGACTGGAAATTTCTCAGCGGACAGGGAAAAACTATACATGACCGGAGAGAACATTAATTTAGTCAGTATCCCATGTCTGGTTTTTTGGGGTAAAGGAGACTTCCATATCCTCCTATTTTTTCCTCAATCTGATGAAGCTACAACTCATGTAAACTTCACGACCAGGCTCAAAGTGGGATTATTCGAGGAAGCAAGAAAGTACTGCACAGGCAGTAGTACTCCTGCATAATTATTCAAGCATCAAAGTATGAAACGTTTAGTTAGTTCAGAGTCTGAATTTAGCTCAAAGTATTGAAGGTACTGAGAGATCACTGCTCGAGCTTACACATTTGAGATTTTTTTTAATATTACCTCGTGTTTAACGTTTTTACTAGTTTGAAGTGGTAACTACTGAATGTGCTCTGTCATACTGAGAAGAGATATATGAGTAAAGTTCCAGAACTGGTTCCAAAACTACTAAGTGTTTCTTTTGGGAAAATAAATTTTATCAAGCTATCATTTATCCTATGGGCATTCAATCCACTACGAACCCATGCACACTTAACATTATTTTATCTACGAAACTTATAGCATAAAATAACAATTACTGCAAAATATTATTAAGATGTCGCTGTAAAATTATTTTCTAAATTATTAACTTATGCTTTGTTAGGCAACGAACTTTTATAATTTTGAAAAGAAGAGAAGTAAAAGGCATTATGCATCGTCGTTTGGCAACAGTAACAACTTGGCGCAGATACCCCTTTTCAACTAACTGAAAGCAAATTGAAAATTAAATGTGAGTACGAAAATTACTATTTAAGCTATACTCAGGTTTCCTGTGCTGTTATACAATTATGTTAACAGAAATACTATAAATTTTCAATACGTCTTAAGAAGGGGGTCGTCGTTAAGATTTCGCTATAAATATGCACGGTAATTAAAAATGCCTGCAAAACTCTAAAAAGATAGGCAGAGGAAAGCGAAAAAAGAAAATTTTCTAATAGAAGGTATGTGCAGGTATGGTGCGTTTGGTGACGTTAGGTGAAAGCGATCTGCTGGAATAAAGTGTCATTCCCCATACGATTTTCGAGCGGTATGCATCGATACACGAAAGTGGAACTAGACGGTATGCATTTTATTTATGGGGCTGGGACTAAAATGGAAAGAGATATAGATTCCTACTCAAAGGAGATACGGAGAACGATTCTCGAGTACCTCCTTTGAGCAGCTGTCCCGTTTCCTCTGCAGCTTCATGGATAAAATGGATATCGGCGAGCTCTGTGTTCATTTAACGATGCATATCGCTCAAACTTCACGCGAAGAGTGACAATTTACTCCAACAGAACGCCTTTATTTAGCGCTTAACAGCATCCTTACATTTTTGCCCAATATTTTGTAACTACGCTGTACATATGTTTCAAAAGCACTTAAACACATATATTATATAAGTACCAAATTAGTCTTAGGTATATTAATGAAACAAAAAATATTATTTTTCCCTAGGCGTGTGGGATATGCATGAATCTGCTATAATGTATTTTTATCTAAACTTTTGAGTTTATTTTTTTAAACACAAGGAAAAGAAACGTGTGATCATCAAAATTCTAAAATCAATGTGCGTAAAAAACAGACATAAAACTTTTACAACTGAATACAAAATATTACCTCAGGCATATATGGCACATCACCTTCAATTTGGTCATATTCAAGACCATAGTCAAATTCCCAACCAGTGCTATCTGCTAGATCATTTCTGTTTGGCTTTGAAAGAGGGTGAGAAAGACAGCATCATTAGAAATCTAGCAATAATTAAAACTTTGAAGCGCTAATACTAATATTTCACTATAAATAAAAATGAAGTTACCAATCGCTTTCGCTTTATAGTTGGTATTTTTCTATGCAAACCTTTTGGACAATCAACTTTGCTTCTAACATAAAAATGATTATCATATTCCACCTTCAAAGAAGAGAATTAACATTTACTTTCAGAAATATTAATTATGATGCTATCTGTCTTATTACCAATTAGATCTCAACTAAAGTGAATACTTACATCCCAATTGTAAGTCCTGCCAACTACGTAACGGTGTAAACCTTTGTTTTTGTTACATTTGCTTCGAACATAATTTTGATTGGTATAATCAACCTAATAATTAAAAGCAAACATTATTATACACATTTACATCATTTATATATGATACTATATATCACAGAAAGAGATGTTTTTATTACTTTTTTAAAGTTTGAGGTAAAATAATAATGTTTTCTGTTTCAGAACATCTTGTAAGTCTCTAGTGATATTGTAATAATTTAAATGAGCGCTATTAATTGCTTTAACAAGTTCCTCTTTTCTCGTGGAACATCAAACAAGCTAACTAAAATATTATTAACTGAGAATTAACCGCAATTCATAACTCATGCATATAGCAGAACTACAACTGAGGGGTCGGGTAAAATAAGCGGTCAAGCTATTACCTATAACTTATAACGCTGCTACTTATGCCTATCTAACGGTACTTCATGCAGAATTACTTGGAGAATTCAAGCTCTTTTTACAATCAACTCGCTTACAAACATAAATATAAAATTTAATAAAACATTATTCGTACGTTTCTTGTGGTTTATAACTTAAGCTAGTACAACTCAACACATCGATTCAGCTCTCAACAATACCATTAAAAATTAGGCGACTTGCATTAGAAGCGTACAGTTGATACAAAACAATTTCCTTCAAGCAAGAAACCTAATTATTTCTTTTACTAAGTATACTGTTACAAAGTTACTTACCAATTTCGAATAGCAAAACGCCGAAAAAATTACGCGAATTTTAATAGAATTTTCTATAAATATCATCAAAAACCATGAACGGACAAGCTCTAGAAATATAAATTCAGTTATCCGGAATTGGTGATATCCTATTCCTGCCGGTTAAAAGAGATTCTAGTGTAATCAGGTTCATTCTGTATGCAATAAATTTCACTATTTGATTAAAAATGTAGATAAAATCTGCTCACTATTATTGAAATAATAAATGGAAATTTTTTATCAAGAAATTGTGAAGAGACGCCAATACTTACTTCATATTTTGTCACAGGATAAAATACTTGCTTTTCAGTTTTTTTCTTAATAACTTTTGGTGCAGATTTTTTTGGTTTGACAGGCCAGGATCTTTTGCACTCTTCCGTAATCGTTGTCGTCACCTCTGAAGTAGATTCCCTGCCCAGTGTGCTTATTGACTTCCGGCTAACAGAAGATCTTTTATAAACAAGCTGCGGATGAGAAAGCGGAATATAATAGTCGTAATTTACATGTTAAAAGGTAAAAGTTCATTATAAATTAAGCATCTTTTGTGGAACTCATGTTCATGGCTCTTCACAAGTCACCTAGCTAACACTAAATAGTTGATAAACATTCATTATGTCAATCAGACCCTAATCAGTCCCATGTGATGGCCTAGTTTTGTGTTTATCTGAATTTCATTGAGTGGCTATACCAAGGACAAGGCTTTATAGTCTTACGCGCTTAAGAACACTAATATGGGATTGAACAACTGCTAATTTTAAGTTTCAGATAACAAGTATGACATTATCTCAAAGGTAAGATGATCGTGAGCTACGAAGTATTACATTTTATGTAAACTCTATAAAACAACAAAAAAAAATTGACGCACCAAAAAGATATCCGATTGAGACACAAATTGGTGGATATGAAGATTATGTACACTGCGAAAAAAAAAGGGGGCAGTTCTATATCTCCCGTTCTACTGGGCCGATTGACAAAATTCAAATTGCGTTTGTCATGTCTCGAAAGCGCGACTTAGAATATATATCAGATTTATGTAAAGCATTGTTCTAACATAGGTATTTTGACACAAAATCGTACTTTTTCTAAAATAAAATACCAAATATTTCATATTTCGATTTTACGACTCAAAAACGCCTAGATATTAAATTTTGTAAAATCTGGTGCGAAATTTACGGAGAAATTCAAAAATTTATCTTGGCGCAATTTTTAAGGTTGCTCCAAGAATAATTCACTTGGCGAACTTCTTAATATATGGCAACCAATTTTCCTTTCTCTTCCATTATGCCGGAGCGGAAAAAAAGGCACTTTGTTCCTGCCTTTTTACATTGTGCATGAGCGGAAAAAAGTCACATCGTTTCTATTTTCAAATAATTTTAGCAAAGTGTCTAAACCACATTTGATGTTTTATCGCTCTCAATAAATATGTCAAATTTCAAAACGCGCTAATATATAAATTCACGTATACCTTCGGAAATTTTGAATAAAAAACTATAATTTTTGCAGGTATGCTTAGAAATATGTCTACTTTAAGATATGGTAAAAGTTTGATAGGTTTGAGTTTGAATCAATTAAAAAATGATTCACACTTTTTTTTGAAAAATTTATAAAAATTATTTAAAAATACAAATTTAAAAAATAAATCATAAAAATGGGTTAATTTTATTTGGAACGAACAAAGTAACGAGCTCAATAAGGTGTTGACCCACCTCTAGCCTGGACGCAAGCTGCCACATGGCGTGGTATAGATTGATAAAGCTCTCGGATAGTATCCTGCGGTATTTCTTGCCAAATATGCTGCAATTTTTGGGCTAGGACATCAACATTCCCTGGTAGATGCCGTCGCCTTTCCATCATATTCCAGACATACTCGATTGAGAGAGATCTGGTGATCTGGCTGGCCAAGGAAGTGTTTAACAAGCTGTAAGACAGCTCATAGCAGCACGTGCCGTATGTGGTCTGGCATTATCTTGCTAAAAACTAAGACCAGGGTACTGCAAAAGGAATGGTAGCAAAACAGGTCTCAGAATGTCGTCGACGTACCGCTGTGCTGTAAGTGTACCTCCAATGAAGACCAAAGGTTGGTTGGTTGGTTGGTAGACTTTTAATGGCACAAAACCTTGAAGGTTGCTCCAGACGAATGGTGAATAAAATCCAAAATACACAAACACACTGTATCAGATGAATTGTTGAAATGAACCTATAATGCTGATGAAGGCATGGAGAAATGACTTTGAGAAATGCTCTAGCAACAGGTAGAGCAGGACTAAAAGATAAAAACTTCAAATCATATGGTAAAAGGAGATGTGTTTTTAAAATCTTATTAGGTTGATGTGAGAGTTTCTTCCAATGAGATTTGTTAAGTTGACTTTCGTAGAATTAAAATGATATTCACGTTTCTGACAAAAAGCAGGACAGCAGGTTAAAATGTGATTGACTGAAAAGGGAAGGTTGCAAGTGTCACAAATAGGCTCATTATCTCCTTTCAAGAGATACTGATGTGTCAGTCTGCAGTGATCAATTCGTAGGCGAGTCAGCTGTACATCCTCCTTTCGATTCCCTCTCGACTCCCAATACTCCAATTTATATTTTACCTGCCTTAATTTGTTAAGTGTCTGGATTCCCAGAGTTCATGCAACCTGGATAAGATCTTTGTTCTGATGTAATTCCGTATGTCTGTAAAAGGAACATCATTTTTAGAAGTAATGTCAGAAGATTTTGCTGCGACATTGGCGAGTTCATTGCATTTGATGCCAGCATGTCCAGGCACCCAGCAGTATAATAGAATAACATGCGTTTCTCAGGTTTTCTGCGTTTTCTAAACTTTTTAAGACCAAAGGGTGGCTAGTATTTGTATTTATTGATTCAAGAGCACTCAGAGAGTCAGAGTAGATGACGAACTTTCTGCTATTCTGCTTAGAGATGGAAATTAAGGAATTTAAAATGGCAAACGTTTCTGCAGTAAAGACAGATGCAGCTTATGAAGTTTACTACTCCTGATTTCTTTATCACAAACAAAAGCTGCCCCGACATGATCATGATTCTTTGAGGCATCAGTAAAAAATGCTTTATAGTTAGAATGACTGCTTCTATGCTCTAGGAAAATTTGCTGATATTTGACGTTATTTAGTTCTCCAAAAATGTTAAGTAGGTGAATGTTCCCTTCTTGCCAGGGAGCAATACCGAAAAGGTCAAAGTTTTTGGGATAGAGATCATTGAGCTTGAATTCTTCAATCAGTGCGAGATATTACATTTCTTAATTAAAACATGGTCAGATCTTTATTACAAGATTCTGTATTAAGATGGGAAAAGTCGAATTGAGTCCTTTCCAAGCGCATCTTTGTGGACAGAAACTCTTTTGAGTAATTGCTACTGCCAGATATAGCAACAAATGTATCACCTAGGGCATCGGCTATTTCTTCTCTAGTGTTTATCAACTTTCCATCTTTTTCTGGAACAGAAAAGTAATAACAATTATATAGTCCTGTTTGCTAGACATTGAGGAGGTAATAGTGGACACGTAGGTTCCTTATGATTTTCTATGACTTTGCCGCCTCACTTTTCTTGCATTCGCTTTACGTAAGTATGACATGTTTAGTGGAAATGAGTTGAACGTCTTTCAGTATTTTGATCCTACGAGCACAACACACGTTTTGATCTGCCAAGTTTTTAACTAATTCCCCTTCAGTTACTGATAGTAAGTCTATTTCAGAGATTACTCCTCGGGACGAATTCAGAGTGTTATGTGGCTTAACTTCAACGTTTGCTTGTCCTAATTTAGTTAGTTTGAAAAGACTATTAGACTGCTTTCCGGACACAGTTTCTATCAAAAAGTCTCCAGACCGAAGTCTCTTGATATTTTTCAGTTCTCCTACAGAAGACAAAAGATATTTGTTTATTAGAAAGGGTGACATTTTTTCAATTTTTCAGAGCTGGTTATAATCAAGAAACATGGACAAAATACATCTGATGCAGGGCTTTCTATGTCTCTTCTTAGTCTTTTGGTCACAATTGGAGTATCGGGTACATTATTGGAGCAGGAAGGTATTATAGCATTCATATTTAAATGGAAAAAGATTCGAGTCCGACCGACACACAACATGCAGACCAACAAGGGGACGCAGATTCCTATGCCAGGGCTAGCCGGACTTATACGCAAACTGAAGTCCCACAGTCGGCTTTCCCAAAAGCAGGTACTCACGAGAGCTTGTCCCAAAGCCACTGACACAAGGACTAGTTACCAGCCGGTTGACACCTGTGAGGACGACAAGGTGCCTCCCGTTTAACTGAAGCAGAGGCCAAAGCAGTGTGTTGGGGACGGTACCTCGCCCCTGAACTACCAGTACCCTCCTTTCCGGTGACACGGGTCTCCACGCACGGTAAACACGTGGGGAGTTTTCTCGCCACTCGAAGAACTAGAGACAAGACTGTTATAGTTTCTTATGACGAGCCCGAACTTCAGAAGAGGAAACCACAAGGAAGAAGGAAAACGAGAAAAGTTGCAGTTAAGAGGAGAAGAGGCAGAAAATAGAAAAGATCATTGGTGCTATAGGATTGTGATACCCGATCACCAAGACGGTAATCCCCTGAAGGATTCTCACCTGCTATGCTTTAGCTAGGCATGTTGGAACGGCCTTCACGCCTAGGATGGCCCTACCAGGAGCTATGCTCCCGACGTACTTCGCCCGTTCCGCTCAGTGACACCCGCGCTACGTTGAGGCAGCATAGCAGGACCTGTGGGGACGACCAAAAGGGTCCGGCTATCAAGAGGAATAGCACTCCAGGTCATAAATCCAGGTTGAGGGCCTGTGTGTTGTGTAATAGGGAAAGCAGGATCGGCAGGCTCCTCTGGGGGTCTTAGGATCGTTAACTCCAGTTCTCCAATGGAAGATTTTCTAGAGGCATTTCACATTCATAAAAATCTTTCTGTTCTAGTTAACGATCCTAATTCCAATCCAAATTTGCCTTCGGCCTTTAAAGAAATTATGTTTTGTTTGGTTTCACCAACAGATGGCGCCACTTGCTTATTCTTGTCCAGGCTTTCTTATCTTATCTAATCATTATTTCCTATCTGGTTCTTTGCGGTTTTGCAGCTGAAGATGGTGGTCGGTAAAACCATCGAAACTAGTCCTGTGAAAATTTGGTAAATATAACGCTGATTTTTGTTGTTTGACTTCTGAATTAGTATTTATTCGGCGTGTTATTGTGTCTTAATTAAAGAATCTAATTGGTTGCGGTCAGTATCACGCAGACTTTTATTTCGCAATTCCGCACTGCCTAATAACCTTTTAATGATTTGCGTATGACAACCACTATCGGATAAAATTATATTTATAGTTAACGCAGAACTGTTCAAACCAACCTCTCTTAATTCTTCTCTCTTAACCTCTCTTATATGCTTTCCAACAGTCTGAGTGTATTACAGTGCCATCAATATTATTTTCTTCAATAACTTTAAGAAAAGTTCTAGTAAAGAGGCGCAAACAGCAACTAAAAAACATACTTTGGTTTCTCGGCAAATTCCGCCGCACACTCACTGAACGGAAGAATGCAATTATTGTTTTTTCGACACGTAAACAGACTTTTGTGAGCTTCGATAATATTACCAGTGTTGCCAGTTTGAACTGATAGTCTAGACATTAATGCATGGCCACAGACTTCCCTTACATAACTGTTCCAATCGACAACAGTGAAATGATTCATACAAAGTTGATACTGACAAAATGCAAGCGAAAATAATTCTAAACGTCATGAATAAATTAAATGAGCTGCTGTTAAGAAATTGATTCTCTATCATTCAAACCAATTTTGAGGACACATTACCTTTTTTATTACCTCGGCACGTCATATTCTCACTCCATTTCGATGCTTCCTTCAAGTTAAAGTAGAGCTTCATTTTATGGGCACTTTCTTTCACTGTGGAATAATTCCTCGTTCCTGAAGAAATTGTACGGAAGATGTTTCATCATTAGGTAAGTCCCAAATTTTCATATCCATGGTTAATGCAACGGTAATAAAAACACAAGTGACTTTTACATCTTTAGAATTTGCGTTTCCGTTGCCAATTTTGAAAAGGAATTCTTTTAGTTTTTTTAAAAAAAGTAAACATTGTAGCGATTTTAAAAGTAAACATTGACAACTTTATATGAACCGCAATCTCTTGGCGAGTTTAGCAAAACATTTGCCGAAGACTCCGGTTCCGATAATAAAACAGCACCCAAAATTGAGCAAATATATCACGTACCAGAGATTACCGTAATGACAATGGGCTGCCGAAAAAATTAGAAAGAATGAGAAAAATTTCTTTTCGTAAATGTAAATACATCACCATATCATACAGTAACAATAGTACAGCAAACCCTTCTGGGTGTACTACTTGTAAATCATCCAACCTGCTTGCTCTCTTTTCAGTTTGGAAAGTGAAATTACTCTGTACGTATGTTATTTCTATTTATGTGGATCCTGTCTTCATCATATTATTTCATTTAGAGTCATTTT